ATTTTATGTGTGTGCCTAGTGTGGGAAAAAGGATAAGAAGTAAACTTTTACTTAAACCATTACATCGATACATCGGGGAGAAGATGGGGATAATGCTCTAGAATATAGCTCTCCTGTTCCCAAGTTGCTTCGTCCTCCGAATGATTTTGCCACTGGACTTTATAGAATTTTACCACTTTGTTCGTAGTGACTCTCTTTTTCATCCAAGATTTTAACAGGATGCTCAATATAAGAAAGATCGGGTTGGAGAGTGAGTCCTTTAATTTCCCCCACTTCATCGGGAACCTATAGACACTTCTTTAACTGGGAAACATGGAAGACAATATGGACTCCAGGATTTGGAGACGGTAAGCAACCGGACCACACCGTTCTAAAACTTTATAAGGTCCAACATAACGTGGAGCTAACTTTCTATAAACTCCAAACCAATGCACACCTCTCATAGGGGATACCTTTAGGTACACATGGCCACCAACTTCAAACTGTAAAGGCCTTCTCCTCTTGTCCGCATAAGCTTTCTGACGGTTCTGAGCCACTTTCAAATGACTCTGAATAACATTGACATGTTTTCTTGCTTCTTTGATAAAATCAGGTCCAAAGTAACCGCAGTCACCCACTTCCACCCAGTTAAGAGGTGTTCTATATTTCTTGCCATACAGGGCCTCGAAAGGTGCCATGCGAATGCTCTCTTGATAGCTATTGTTATAGGAAAACTCAGCTAAAGACAAGCATTCATCCCACTTTTCTGGATAAGAAATGGCATAAGCTCTCAACATATCTTCAAGTACTTGATTGACCCTTTCTGTCTGACCGTCAGTTTGCGGGTGATAAGATGAACTTCTAAGGAGGTGAATACCAAGACATTTCTGGAGTTGCTCCTAGAAGCGAGAGGCAAAGACTGACCCTCTATCAGAAACAATGGTAAGGGAAACTCCATGTAGGGTCACAACCTGATCAAAATACAACTTGGCATACTTTTTGGCTGAATACCTTGTATCCACCGGGAGGAAATGAGCAGACTTGGTAAGGCGATCCACAATGACCCAAATAGAGTCATACCCCTTTGTCATGCGGGGCAAACCCACAACAAAGTCTATAGAAATATCCTCCCATTTCCAAACAGGAATATGCAAGGGTTGTAGAAATCCATACGTACACATATGGTCCGCCTTAACCCTTTCACAAATATCACATTCTGAGATGTATTTTGTAATATCCTGTTTCATATTTGGTCACCAATACAAGTGACGCAAATCATGATACATCTTGTTACTTCCCGGATGAATGGATAATTGGGAGTTGCAAGCTTCATCCAAAATTTTTCTCCTAAGCTCATCACTTGAGGGAACCACTAATCGGTTCTTGAACTTCACCACACCTTGATCATCGATACTGAAATGTGGACCACGCCCTTCGGCAATTAACTTCTTGATATGAGGGATTTTCAAAGCATCTTGCCTTTGTTCTATAATAATTTGCTCAAGTAAATCCGAAACTAGAGCAATATGGGCTAACACTTCAGAATGGGTGAGGGGCAAATATTCTTCATCAACCTGATGCGACTTCCGACTTAAGGCATCAGCTACCACATCAGCTTTTCCCGGATGATAATGAACTTCTAAATTGTAATCCTTGATTAACTCGCGCCACCTCTGTTGCCTCATATTCAACTCGGATTGAGTGAAAATATATTTGAGACTCTTGTGATCCATAAAAATATGTACTTTATTTCCCAACAGGTAATGCCTTCAAATTTTTAGAGAGTGCACCACTGCAGCCAGCTCTAAATCATGGGTGGGATAATTCAACTCGTGCTTTTTCAGCTGACGTGAAGCATAAGCGATCACACGTCTGTCTTGCATAAGCATGCAACCCAATCCAGTCCTAGAGGCATCACAATACACATCAAATGGCCTTTCAATATCTGGTTGAGAAAGAATAGGAGCAGAGGTAAGAAACTTCTTCAGGGCTTGGAAATTCTCTTCACAAGTCGAACTCCATACAAACTTGACATCCTTCTGCAGCAACTTGGTCATCGGTTCAGCTATTTTGGAAAACACAGGGATGAAGCACCGATAATAACCAGTAAGACTAAGGAACTGACGAATCTGATACACCGACTTTAGAGATTTCCAATTTAACACATCATGCACCTTGCTAGGATCCACAGAGATGCCTTCAGGTGTTAGGACATGTTCCAAAAACTGCACTCGATCAAACCAAAACTCACACTTACTAAATTTGGCATATAGCTTGTGTCCAATCCCCTGGCGCAAAAGGTCCACGAGGCGGATTCTAGCCCAGCAGTAGAGGCCCAACATGGGCTGAACTTTTACATGAGGAATTCCTGAATTTCTCGAATTCAATTTAGATTCTTCCACCTTTTCTTTCCCTCTTGCACTTTTTATATCTGGAACCCTTCCTTGTCTTCTATTTCTTTTTCTCATCCTCTGCCCTATCTACCCTAAAGGTGCTTGCGGCATTCCTTTTTTTAACGCGGGCGGGGTTAACGTGGGCCGGGGTGGGGGGGAAGACGAGTTATTTTTTAGTGTATATATATGTAAATAGATGATAGATAGAAGAAGGGACACGGACGGGCCGGCAGCGAGTGGGAAGCCGCTGACGAGAGTATTATGGATTGTCGAACGGTGTGGTGTGCTGAGCGTCAACTTTTCGGCCCGTTTCCCGCATGCTGACACACGGCCCAGTTTTCTAAGGCGTAGCTGGGCCATTTAAAGAAGACGGCCTAGCCTCCTGAAAGGCATTGGGCCTCTTGTGGGCTGTGCCACTGGATCATTTTTTTTATAAGAAGCACTTGTATTAAAATTAAGAACAGATTACGCTTAGAAGGGAGAAAGGCTCCCAAGAAGACTATAAGAGGATAGAGCTAAACGAACAGGAAGGAACATGCGTCTGATTAGAAGCAAGACTGCGAGCAGTTACATTGTCGACTCTATTTATTTTGAGCACTTGATAACTCTTCATTTATTTTATTTATTTATCCCATGCTCCAATCCTGAGAACACCAGACTTTTTTTTTCTAAAATATAAAATGGGAGAAAGGAATTTTATTCGAGGGAAAAAAATAACACTTTTATATTAGATGATAAAATAACACAAAGACCCCACTATTTCAACGGTCGTCCACCCTTCCTTTACTTTTCTTCCTCGATCGGTTCTTCTTGCCTTCGGCCGTGCCTCGTGGTTTTTTTCTTCTATATATAATCTATATATACGCGGGAGTCGAATTCGTTGACGCCTGTAATGTAAGGGGTCTCGGCGCAGGCTCTCGTGGGTACAAACAAAGTACAGTTCAAATGACGATGGCAAAACTTTTCTTGTTCTTCTTCTTCTTTTTGCATGACTAGGGAGATTCATTCTTCAAATAGTTCCCGAATTACAATCTGCGATCATCAGGTTCTCAATGCAAGTCGGGCTAACATGTGACCAACCGGACTGCGCATCACCTGTGACCTGCTTTGCCAATGTATGAGCTACTCTATTACATTTTGGATTAATGAAAGAAAATTTAAAAGCTTGAAAGCACAAGCTCAAATCCCGGACCTCCCGCAGGACCGAAACCACAGCCGATTTCTGATTGATACTTTCGTTCCACAGGCGCATCAGGTCTTCCAATCGGTCTCAAACCAGCGCTCCGTTCGCTTAGGCTTGTTTGGCTAAGTTGTACTTTTTTAGCTAACGGATAATATTTTTCTCTCACACCAAATCAGTCAACAGTACTTTCAACCTTGGCTTATCAGCCAAATGAGCCAAAGCGAACAGGGCGATTAACTTCTTTGCCGCGTCAAAAAAAAACTGAGCTATTATGATAATTAATATTGATAGAAACTACAGTAAATACACCCCTGTGACTGCCCTAGTGCATGCTGGCCCATCACTCCGTAATGGATCTGTGATTATGATCACAATTAATTAACATCAGGGTATCATATGAACCCAACTGTTGTTGCCCATTTTACAAAAGTATAGTCAAAGTCAACCTAGAAGGAGAAAACAATAGCGGTACCGAATGGTGTACAGCGCAACAAATACAGAGGAAAATGCTGAGCTCCTAATAATCTGTGGAGATGTGGAGAAAAAAAAAGAAAACACAAGGAAGGCATCAGATGAGGATGAGCGTCTATCTTTTTTCTAAGCCGCCCATGTTGACCTTGACTCACCCACCAACCAGGCCACCACGCGGCACACAACCAGCCGAGCCCAGAACCGGGTTAAGGCCCACCACCAAGGCACCATCCCATCATCAGGGCCCTCGATACCTGCCTTGGACGGTGGCGATTGCTCCATTCATGATACGCCTCCAGCACTGCCATCGCCGTGCTGCTACCGTAAAACGCCGCATTAGAAGACCTGGTCCTGAGCAGAGCGTAGTACAGAGCATCATCATCATCATGTGGAGCTGATGCTCCTCAAGAGAGAATCCCTGAGGATTTCGTCAGATGCGAAGTGGAAAGTTCTTCTTCTCGTCTCCTGTGGTCGAAACACAGCAGCTGGAAGCGTGGCTTAATGGACTGTCAACGCTGTCGACAAGGAACGGGAGGTTTGATTTCACATTTTGACCCGACAATAGTGCCGTTCCTCTGTTGTTTCCAATTCTTTTGGTTTTCTCCGAGTTGGACTGTTGGAGGAGGTGGCGGGCAGTGTGCGTCACTGTCAGTCAGTCACTAGCGCTCTAAACGCTTGACATTTTCTAGCACAACTTGCTTCGTTCTGCCTCTCCCGGTCCCGGTCTCCTCCACTGTTCTACCAGCCAGGTCAGTCCAACTCCCTCCCTCCCACCTCCTTCCTCCTCTCGATCCCTCCCCCTCGTGCCAAGACCAGATTCACGCGCCCGATTGAGAAACAACCTTACCAATTGCAGGTGGGGTTGGCTGCCTTGATGACTAGCTGCCTCTCCGTCTGCCATCGGCCATCTCCATCCGAGAAAAGAAAGGATTAAACGAATCAGAGGAGCCGGCCGCCCCCGAAGCGCCGGAAAGATGCGGCCTTTGCGGCGAAGCTCCGGGCACCTTGCGTCCCTCGGCTGCTTCCTCTTCTTCCTCCTCCTCCCGCTGCTGTCCCGCGGCGCGGACATGCCGGTGGGGTCGACCCTGTCGCCGAGCAACTCGGCGACGTGGACGTCGCCCAACAACACCTTCTCGCTCGGCTTCACGGCGTCCGCGTCCTCCCCGTCGCTCTTCGTCGCCGCGATCTCCTACGCCGGCGGCGTGCCCGTCTGGTCCGCGGGCGCCGGCGCCGCCGTTGACTTGGGGGGCTCGCTCCGCCTCTCGTCCAACGGCGACCTCCAGCTCGTCAACGGCTCCGGGGCCGTGCTCTGGTCGTCCAACACGGGGGGCCAGAACGTGTCCGCCGCGGCCGTCCAGGAGAGCGGAAACCTCGTGCTCAAGGACTCCCGCGGCGCCACGCTGTGGCAGTCGTTCGACCACCCCACGGACACGGTGGTGATGTCGCAGAACTTCACCTCCGGGATGAACCTCACCTCGGGCTCCTACGTCTTCTCCGTCGACAAGGGCACGGGCAACCTCACGCTCCGGTGGACCAGCGCCGCCACCACGGTCACCTACTTCAACAAGGGGTACAACACCTCCTTCACGGGGAACAGGACGCTGAGCGCGCCCACACTCACGATGCAGACCAACGGCATCGTGTCCCTCACCGACGGCACCCTCACCTCCCCCGTCGTCGTCGCCTACAGCAGCAACTACGGCGAGAGCGGCGACATGATGCGGTTCGTGCGCCTCGACGAGGACGGCAACTTCCGCGCCTACAGCGCCGCCCGGGGCAGCAACGCCGCCACGGAGCAGTGGTCGGCGGTGGCGGACCAGTGCCAGGTGTTCGGCTACTGCGGCAACATGGGCGTGTGCAGCTACAACGGCACGGCGCCCGTGTGCGGGTGCCCGTCCCAGAACTTCCAGCTCACCGACCCTTCCAAGCCGCGCGGCGGGTGCACGCGCAAGGTCGACCTCAACAGCTGCCCCGGAAACTCCACCATGCTCCAGCTCGACAACACACAGTTCCTCACCTACCCGCCGGAGATCACCACGGAGCAGTTCTTCGTCGGCATCACCGCCTGCCGCCTCAACTGCCTCTCGGGAAGCTCCTGCGTCGCGTCCACCGCTCTCTCCGACGGCTCGGGCCTCTGCTTCCTCAAGGTCTCCAACTTCGTGAGCGGCTACCAGTCGGCCGCGCTGCCCAGCACGTCCTTCGTCAAGGTCTGCTCCCCGCCGTTGCCCAACCCGGTCCTGGGCAGCACTGCGGGCGCGAACTCGCGCGGTGGCTCCGGTGTCCGCGCCTGGGTCGTCGCGGTCGTGGTCCTGGGCGTGGTGTCCGGTCTGGTGCTCTGCGAGTGGGCGCTGTGGTGGTTCCTGTGCCGGCACAGCCCCAAGTACGGTCCGGCGTCGGCGCAGTACGCGCTGCTGGAGTACGCGTCGGGCGCGCCCGTGCAGTTCTCGTACCGCGAGCTGCAGCGGTCCACCAAGGGGTTCAAGGAGAAGCTGGGCGCGGGGGGGTTCGGCGCCGTGTACCGCGGCGTACTGGCGAACCGGACGGTGGTGGCGGTGAAGCAGCTGGAGGGGATCGAGCAGGGGGAGAAGCAGTTCCGGATGGAGGTGGCCACCATCAGCAGCACGCACCACCTCAACCTGGTCCGCCTCATCGGCTTCTGCTCCGAGGGCCGGCACCGGCTGCTGGTGTACGAGTTCATGAAGAACGGCTCGCTGGACGCGTTCCTCTTCGGTGACGGGAAGATGCCGTGGCCGACGCGGTTCGCCGTGGCCGTGGGCACGGCGCGGGGCATCACGTACCTGCACGAGGAGTGCCGCGACTGCATCGTGCACTGCGACATCAAGCCCGAGAACATCCTCCTGGACGAGCACTTCAACGCCAAGGTCTCCGACTTCGGGCTGGCCAAGCTGGTGAACCCCAAGGACCACCGCCACCGCACGCTCACCAGCGTGCGCGGCACCAGGGGTTACCTGGCGCCGGAGTGGCTGGCCAACCTGCCCATCACGGCCAAGTCCGACGTGTACAGCTACGGTATGGTGCTGCTGGAGACCGTCAGCGGCCGCCGCAACTTCGACGTGTCGGAGGAGACCGGGCGGAAGAAGTTCTCGGTGTGGGCGTACGAGGAGTACGAGAGGGGAAACCTCGCCGGCATCGTCGACAGGAGGCTTCCCGCGGAGGACCTCGACATGGCGCAGGTGGAGCGCGCGCTGCAGGTGAGCTTCTGGTGCATCCAGGAGCAGCCGGCGCAGCGCCCGTCCATGGGGAAGGTGGTGCAGATGCTGGAAGGGGTCATGGAGTTCGAGAGGCCGCCGCCCCCGAAGTCGTCCGACAGCTTCCTGAGCACCACCACGGCCACCAGCGGCGTCAGCTCCAGCTTGGTCTCGACGGTCGTTTCGTCGGGGCCCCGGTCGCGCCCGCGCCATCGCCGAACCTGGAGCAGGAGATGGCGCTGGGCCGCTCCGAGTCGGCCAGGAACCGTGAACGCGTGTCGCGGCAGCTGCTGTCACCGCAGCCGTACATGACGATGTAAGGCGCGTCTGCGTCATCCTCATCCATCCATGGCAGAGATCATCATCCCGCGAAATGGATAGCAAAGTGAAGGCGCTGAGCTGAAACACGCAGGCAGGCAGAATGCCTGCTTCTGTCATCCATTCCTAGGAAGAGGAAAGTGTACAGATTTGTAGAGCGATTAGGGAAATGATGATGATTTGCTGAATTTGCTCTAAGCTCTAGCTGGCGAACCTTGGCGGCGGAACAAACTGATCTTTCGCTGGTATTGTGGCTTCCATATGCCAATACTATGTAATTGTAAGCATCAAATTCAGATTAAGCTTGATATTGAGCACTGCAGTTTGTACAAAATAACCGGCATGTTTTAGTATGGACTTCAGGTTTGTTTCAAAAACAGATGCAGTATTTTTTTTTTAAAAAAAATTTGTTTCCCTCATCAAGGGAAGTTCGGAGCAGCTCACACAGGCAAATAGATTGCATCATAAATAAATACATAATAATAATGCTGAGCTGTTAGAAGTCTCATGTCTTGTTAGGCAAGGAGATCCATCATTTTACAATAAAAACAACATAAAAAACTGTGGACAATTTCAAAATCAGACCAAACATCTTAATACATATGCAAAAAAAAAAATCACTATTAGCCCACCATTATTACAAGATTTAGCTTTTACGAATACTGTTGGTTTGATACGAATAATGGCATTGTTAGACCGACGGTCAGTACTGAATACTGTTGCACTTCTCCTTTTTGGTTTTCTAGAGAAAAACTGTTGCGGGTCTCCTGTGTTTCTCGTCTCACCAAGTCACCAGTCGCCACACTGCCGGAATTCTATGTTCTAGAACACGAGCAGGTTCGTATCGTCGCTGGTTTGTGAAGAAGTACCGCTGGTTGGTTTATGTGAGAGAAAAATACTGTTCCGACTGAAAATTTACGATCGTTTACGACAAGTCACAGCCAAATGAACAGGCTGAGGATCTTTCAGCCAAACATCATGGTGATACGAAATGTTGCTTCTGTCAGCATCCAGAAACTATTCAACACATTTTTTTACAATATTATTATGCTAAATTCTTGTGACGTGCTGTACACTTAATGTTTGGGTTATCACCCCCTCAGTATACATGATTTATTTGTTAATTGGTCTAAGGCGGGTGGTAACATACATAATTCATTGTTATTAACTGCAACGCCAGCTTTATGTTGGACAATCTGGTTAACAAGAAATGAAGTAGTTTTTGACAAATGCAGACCGAAAACTTTTTTGCAGGTGCTATTCGTGGGAACCCATTGGCTCTGGTAATGGGCAAGGCTACACAACGTAATGATCTACGGGATCATTTGATTCTTATTGGGCGACATCTGGAGACATCAGCATTGCACTTCTTTAATTCCAATGGATGGTTATCGACTAGGTTTATTGGTCTTCGTTAGTCAGAACTTTACTTCCTGCTTTATTTTTCTAGTGTCTACTTGTAAGCTTGTGATCCCTGTGGATTATGTGCTGGTCGCTGTACCGAACTTTGTAATAATTGGTCTGATTCTACCCTGAGGTAGATGAAGCCGGATATAACCTGTCCTTTGTCTAAAAAAAAATCTGTGCGGATCAATGCTATTGCATTCGTCAGATCCTTCGTGGAAGGGAAAGGTGAAGGCCTGCTGCATCTTGCGCCAAGCCGCCATCCCTGCCCTGCAATCGCAGCCGGGGAGGCAACTGCAAGTTGCAACACATGGCGCATGTGAGTCAGGCTCGTGCCGTCGTGCTGGGTATCGTTTAGCGTTCGGTACGATGGTACCGATGGATTTATGATGACTGATGAGGGCAGAGCTGGTCTTGCAGTAGGCCTCTTGCTTTTCGGATCGAACCCTAATTCAGGGCTACGATCTGATTGGAACGTACTACTGCAAACTACAAAGCCATCGGCCAAAGACCCACAGAGTGACAGTACGCGGGTGTGTTTAATTCAGATTCAGATAGGGAAAGAGTAGGTCTGGTGCATTTGGTAATTTCGGAGTCCTTCCTGTGCGCACGTGCTCCGAGAAATGCTGTCTCGCCCAACAAACAAACCGGAATCTTCAGTCCAAGCTCACCCAGTCCATGTCCATGGAGTCCGGTCATAACCAAGGCTGTTCGTTTCGCCATCCGTTTTTTTACTTATAATTCAAAGTTAACCCAACCGACAGAATTGGTTCCATAGTGTAGTGGTTAGCACTCCAGACTTTGAATCTGGCGACCTGGGTTCGAATCCCGGTGGGACCTTATAATTTTCCCTTTTTTTTTTGGTCTTTAAAATTAAGGTTCTAATTAGCTGGTTTCTCATACAGACCCGCCATGCTAATAGCCAAATTAGCCAAAAAAATTTGACACATTAAAAGTAACCCATCTTGCCAAGCAGCAACAGGGAATGTAAGCATGTAGCTGTGCCTGATTGAGACCAATGTAATGTAAAACGTGCCGACTGAAACTGTTTATTGGATGGTAACCTTCTCTTTTCCGTGTCAAAACAAATCCGTACTTTTCAGCTTGTTTTTTTAGCTGAAACAGTATTTTTCTTTCGCAACAAATCAGCCGGAATAGTATTTCGACTTGTTTTTTCAGCGAAGCGAACGGGGCCGATCATCACTAACAAAGTTGGCGACCAACTTGTGAACATCACGGTTTAACCCAGCGGTGACCACCTGCTTTGAAAGGCAAGGCTGACTCAAACACGAAATCGCACACCCGTTCTGCGTTTAGTGGCCAGTCTTTGTCAAATCCACGGATCAATTTGACCGCAACAAAGCTGTTACTGTTAGTATAGTCAACAGTTCTAGATAGGGTTGGCCCGTGTACCGCGCTTTTCTGTACACAATTTGCGGCGTCTTTGTCGGAATGCTTCCAGAATCCAGATCACCTCCGAAGAAGGGAAAGAGTTAAGCTAACAATGAGAGAGCATATCTTTTTTTCAAAGCTTAATCTAGTATTCCACCCAGTTGACATCCAAATCCTTCAGCTTCAGGAGCCATTTCTGGGCATCTGGGGAAACATTGCCTTTATCAGGTTTCACCCCGTGCTTCTTTGCCATCTCAGATGGGGATTCAGACTGGCTCTCATCATCCAAGTCGCCTTGCCTTCTAGGACGTCTTAGTTTAAGAGAGAGAAGGCGTGAAACCTCCTGCACCCCACCCCATTTTTCCAATGCCCGAGCAATGTCGTAACGACCTACCAACAGAGCATGAAAATCATTTCAAAAGCCAGACAACAGGAGCATGTAATGATGGTATAAAGCTAAAGACATTTGTGCTAAAATGAATAAAACAGTAGCATGAAAGTGCCACAATACTTATTTTTTTCATTTTCCAACAATGGGCTACAGATATTACCTGCCCTCTCAAAAGATTTTCTACTTGGCATATAAGAAGGATCCATCCCCCAACTTTTCTGGAACCGGCTGATCTGTATATAGTGATCAGATACTGATGTCAAAAGTTGAAGAAAAATGTTGAATACAGCATATGATGTTATAAAATTCAATGGACAGAGTCACAGAGTGCTAGTTTTCATTCATACTCGAAATATAAGGGGACAAGTTTTAACTCTATTTGCAATATACGGTGCAAAACTATTCAGAGATTAAAAAAACATGGTTATACCTGTATTCTTGTGCTAGAATGGATATTTGATAAGCACAGGAGGGAGCTAAAGATATATAGTATTATTACCTCTTCTTGCAAGTTCTCCAGATTATCCCAATAGCCTCTTGGTTTTCGATTTTTGTAAGAAAGAGAAAGGTTCATTATGCTGGCAATCTTCCGGAACCCACCCATTCGTGTTATTGCCTTCTCGATATCCACCCTTCCATGAGACCGGAGATGCTTTCTCTTAGGCATGAAACCATACTGACCATACTCTGCAATGAAATTCTCAAGCTCTGATTTTAGGACCTCAATGTCCTTTTGCAACCCTGGGACTTTTGGTCTCTGCTTCATGGTACTGGGTGAGCAAGACACAGATGCTTGCTCAGATTGCCTGCTTTCAGCATGATAAGCATCTGGGTCTATGGACACATCAGAATGAGCTGTGGAGTTGCTACCCTTGGCTCCAGCCTTTTCAATATAATCACGGATTGCACACAAGTTTGATGGAAGATCTTCATATATGACCTGTAACAGATTGATGAAAATGAATAGTCTGCTTTACTATCTCTAAAGACATTAAACTTTATCAAAGCATTCAGCTGAAATAACCATCAAGGCACCACATACAATTAATCCAAGTAAGAGCACGAAAAAATCGGCCTATTGTCAAAAGCAAGTAAAAAATGTCAGAAACCATGATAAAATTTTTTGGTGTCCTAACTGCGACAGAATGTATAACCTGGAAATTTGAAGAGCTGAAGATACAACATGACTTGTAAAACAAATCCTGTTAAAATACCTTCATGTTTGTAATTTGGATATTTGAGAGGCGTAAGCCACCAAGAAAATGGAAAACCGATCCCTGTTAGGTTCTTTAGAGATAATTAAGTTTAAACCAACCAAATACGAAAATTTAACTATAGTAAGCTTATACCATTTGAGAAGGCATGAAGTATATACCCATTACCATGCAAAGCACTTGTATAACCAAAACAGAATACAGTGTGCACATAAAAGCCTACTTTAACCATCTTAAGCTAACAAGTAAAATGTTATATGAATTAAAGAAAATGCATATATGGCTTACCTCTTCAAGGATAGACTCAGAGAGAAAGGTGTCCCTATGCATCTTAGTCTCAACCATGTACTTCAACAGGGTGTGCTGATCCCCAAGTTGTTCTAAGCGCCATTTCCCTTTAAACGAGTAAAAATCACCCTCAACTTGTTCAAACCTGATCTCTTGCTCAAATTTTTCACGAAGATCCATAACAACACGGGCATGAAGGACCATATACAGCAGGCCTTTGCAACCCTCCTAGAAAAACGATTTCAAAAGATATAATGCTTGAAAAAGAAAACAAAGACTATCAGATTGAATTTACAGAACTTTCT